CCAGCAGAAAAAAAATACATATGCAAAAGTTAATGCTTCCTAAATTATTTGTTTTTATTTAGATATTATATTTTAGAGAGAGCTACATTTTAATGTGTGTGTGTGTAGTATGTGTGTGTGAGTGTGTGTGTAATTTAAGCATATGCAATTTATCACTTCCAAGTCTTGGGGATGTGGGAATATCCTGAAATGGTTAGATTTAAAGTGGAAATATTGATTTGAGAGTCAGCCTGGGAATAAAATTGCAACAAATTTAGATGAAGCTCTCTACAACTCCATATCATGAGTATTTGGATTTTGACTGTAAGAGCTATTTAATCCAATTGACAACAATGGAGAAGAGTGCAATTATTAAACAGATACATTATCAGTTGAGAGGGAAAAAAAGCACCAAAGTTGCAGAGTAAACAGTAAAAGTGGATAGTAAAGACAGGAAGCTAAAACAAAAATTCCGAAGTCAGTATAACTGGAAATTAAACAAGACCTAAACTTAGAAGAACAAGAGAATGATACTGATATTGTTATTGGACCTGAAATAGGTGGAAACCATAGATCCAGACATACACCTGAGAATGCTTTTTGCCAGCAATGGGCATCATGCCTTTAATCACCATCCCAAAGGATAATTTTAACGTTTTAGAACATGATATCCTGAAAATAAGTAAGTAAATACATATATGTACATGCATACATAGTGTGTACATACATACGCTCTTGGAGATAAATTGTAAATAAATATTTATTAAAACTGACAACTCTGTCATTATTCTGGATTTGTATCTTTCACCTTATATAAGTAGCCTAGAATTCAAACACAATATAAATGCCCTTATATTTAAATCTGCCTGACAGGATGATGGATTTTAATAATTTATCATGGAAAAGGTAAATTTCATTATTGTCAAGATGAGTCAGCCTGTTCTGAAACCACAGCCTTCCCATCTGATGGAGTTACAGATTTGACAGCTGTGCATTGAGCAACAGGTTCTCGCTGACATGTGTGTCTCCAACAAGATGCCCTCGTGTATTCCACAGTGAAAGTAATTACAAAAAACATGGACTTTCCATCACACGTTCTCTTCTTTTGATATTTACTATTTAAACTAAACTTGCTCTATGCGTATTTAGATAAATTCCTACCAATAATATATAAATATGTAATGTTTGAGTTGAGAAGTTGGTGGTAATTATAACTCTAGGCTTTTTGAATATGTAAAATATCTTACTGCACCCCACACATATGAAAGATGGAATGATACAGTCATGAAATAAAAGTATTTTTTAACAAAGACAGTTTGAAAACAAGAAAAAGAGCAAAGGGAACTGTTTTGTTTTCTCCCCCTCCTCCCTAAGCAAACATAAGGCATTCTCTAGACTTCTTTGAAGTCTCTGGTTTGTAAATTAAGAATGAATTGGTAAGACAATCCAGTCAAAGGCTCAAGTTACAAGAAATAACATCTAGGGGTAAATGTGAAAATACTTGTTTTTGAGAGCAGTGTTTCTTCAAAGTTTTCTGAAGGAATGACTGTTCTGAATAGATATAAATGGCTAATATTTAATATTGTGTGATGTGATTAACTCAGTGTAAGAAAAGTCATTTGTAAATGATGCACCATTATGAAATCATGCATTCAAACAATTAGCTGAACATGTGTAAAAATACTTCAATAAAAATCTCTATTCACAAATGAGAGATGTGAAGCTCAGAAAATAAAATCCCCATAAAAATGGGATAGTTTTCTACAAAATGAACATTGGAGGTCATGTCTCTTGACTAAATAAGGTGTTACTAATTCTATTACTGAAGAGGGAATAATGACGGCAGCAACAGGACCAGTCTCTGGAAGCAAATTGGGATCACTTAGATTAAGTACTGAGCACAGGACCCAGGTCTCCATTATGCATTATTGCATGTAATGCATTATTTGAAAACTACATTTTCTTTGGAATATTATTGCAGTAATGATTTGTATCAGGGAACGTTCTTGTTTTCAAACCACAAAAATCAACCCAGCCATGGAAAGCAGCACATACATTTATTGGATTAATATCCTATAGCCATCACAATTAATGAGGGGCCTTAAAAATCAGGTTTGGCAAGAAATAGGAACCAATAGAAGTTAGGCAGTTAGAAACAATGTCAAGTATTTGATATTGAAACTATGTAGCTAGCATGACCCTTAATTTGAACAGCTGCCATTGGACTTGTCCTTCATAGCTCAGGCCCTTGAAACCCTTAACTTTGCTATGAAATATTTCTCAACTTTCTCTACATCAATCTGTTATTTGTTCCAGTGTGTTGATCATGCAATGTGTATGTCACTAGCGCAGGTTAGAAGAAAGGAAGAAACATTATCTGGTCCCTAGGTGTTCAGAGGTGAAAGTTAGGGCTCTGGTCATCAGAATTCATATTGGAGTGTCCATAAAAGCGGAAACTGTGTTTAAGTGCTGCTTAGTAAAAAAAATGCCAATAGTCTACGGTGTATTTCTATTGTGTTAATCTCAATCGGTGTTTTATTTTATTACGGTTTACATTTTAATCCTTTCTAGCCTTTCCATGGGTAGATTTCCTAGAGTAGAGCAGAAAATTTTCACATTTGAAGTCTGGATATGTAAATAAAATTACTTTCAAAAGTACCGTAGTAATGTTTACAATTGTTCTTTCATTCCACAGACTTATTTATCACTCTTCATAATTGTAATAATAGAGATTCATAAATATAGAATGAATATGTAGAGTGAAATGCACTTGTATGTTTTTGGAAAGCCACACAAGATTATTTTAACAAAAACACTCATTCCACATATATGTTACCATTACAGAAACCACTTTCTTCACCTACTCATGAATTATGCTTTGTTAAACAACTTTGCTTAAACGGCTAATGTGTTAATTTCATTAAAAAAAATCACACCAAATGGTGTGAAAGTATTACAGTAGCACCTTCTATATATTCATCAACTTGACTTCTAAGAACAAAGAGTAAAGTATCTTGTTTTGAAATTTGTGACTTAAAAGTTAAGAATATTTTGATGAATAAGCAATTGCATTTTAATATAAAATAATCCAAATAATATGTTAGATAGATTGGAAAGAGTATTTTGTAACTACAGTAGTGATGTTTACACTTGTTCTTTCATTCCTATTTATACTCCAAACATCATTACTTTTAATATTAAAGCACAAATTTTAGTAAAGGAAAAAATTGAGAGTTGAAGAAATTAAATGATTCACATATTTTCAGTAAATTCTCAAAAAAAAAAGATAAAAAGAAAAAGAAAAAGAAAGAAAACCTGTGTTTTCTGACTTCCTTTTCAGTGTTCTTACTATGTTGGAACTAGAAAAGCATGTCTCTTTTTTTATATGTTGGGAGTTATTGAGTCATTTTAATTTAAATAAGTGAATATTTATTTGCTTTCAAAAAATATTACAAACTTCAATTTATATTTGCCAGATGATTAAAATGCAATCCCAGTTCTCATCCAATATAACACTTGCACAGCTGGTGCAGTAAACGTTATTATCAGTCTGAATTTATGGGGAGAGATACTGATAGGGGAAAGAAGTTTGCTCTGGTTCTCATGTCATTATTTTCTCATCTCCTGCTCTGTGTAAACTTTTTAGTCAGTTGTATAAAAGAATTATGTGATGACTGATATTTATATTCATTTTTAAAAATAATTTATGTTGTCAGCCATCTTGTGATTCACTTAGATCTACATTTTAGTTTGTACCGATTTACAGGACATGAATTTTATGGAATGAGAAAATGATTCATCTAATATTTTTACTAGATGGCATAGCTAGAATCTTGAATCAATATAATTTTTTAAAAAACATATTGAAACACATATATAAAAATGCAGCAAAACTTGCTACACACTTTTATGTTTTCAATTAGTTAATAATTTCAGAGTCAAATTTTTCTCTCCCACATCCTGTTTATTATCTTTCAAAACTCTTTCTTAAGTTTTACTTTATTATCTAATTGTACTAAAATCTAAGTCCCAAGTCCACAACGTTTCTTATTTGATAATCAAAGCATTTCCCCTTCTGTTCTTTTTGCCACCATTCTTTTCTCATTTACTCCTTTCTTTACATAGCTACTAGAATTCTGTGTAGTGTTATTCCAAGGCTGAATGTCTAGCTTTCCTGTATGTGAAGACCCACCTTAGCGTATTATCTGCAGGCCAATCAAAATCCATGCAAGCTATATGGAACCATTTGATATATATTCTCACTCAATTGGATTGTGCCAACCTGATCCCAACTGTAGAACAATTTTCAATTTCATACATCTTTTCAGCCATCTTCTTTTCTGTTTTTTTTTTTTAAATTTCTTTACTTACTAAGTGACTTAAAGTACCTATTTAACTGCTGGGATGGTCTGTGACAATTTTTCAACCCTAGGAAGTATTTTGTTGAAGTTCAGGGAGTCACATGTAATAGGTAATTGATTTGCAGTATGTGTAGCAAATTTTTATCACATTAACAAAAACAAATAAATACAAAAACAAAATGTGCACTTAGTGTGCAGAGATCACATATTGTAAGCGATCACACTACATACTCAGGTGTGCAGATACTCATGGTCAGTTTTTGAGCATTTCAGTACCCCCTAGGGCTGCATTCTGTTGTTTCAAAGAATATATATATACACACACACACACACACACACACACACACACACACACACACACATATATATATATATATATATATATATATATATATATATATAAATATATTCAATATACATATACCCTGAATATATAGAATTGAACATTAGCAGTGCAGACAGGGAGATCCATGTAAAAATGTATGCAGTGTGCAGGCGTATGCAATGGCTATCTGTGTGTGTACTTTTGTATGTATTTCCAAAAGAATTTGTACACATTCTTTATCAGCATCACACTGCAAAACAGTATAATTTGCATTCAGAACAAGTACTTAAAACTAGCCTATTTTGTAATTATACGATTTTCTCTCTTTCCCTTAGGTAGAAAATGGTTCCATGTGTTCACCTCCTGTGAAGACTTAGAATCAGACAACTGCAGCTTTGATGTTCCAAGTGTTTCAGGATGTAAATGCAGTCTGACCTTTCCTGGATGGACTGTTAAATCATGGACACACCAAACAATTTACTTTGGACTGCCCTTCCAAAAGATGCTTTGGCTTCTCTTTTGAATACTCACTAAGCATTTGTAGCTGACAAGGAAAAGAAAGGAAACTGTGAACTGGAAAGTGATCTTACAATGAAAATTACGAGCACATCTTGCATCTGTCCAGTCCTCGTGTGTCTCTGTTTTGTGCAGAGGTGTTATGGAACTGCTCACCACAGCTCCATCAAGGTGACCAGAAACCAAACCAAACACATTGAAGGTGAAACCGAAGTCCACCATCGCCCCAAAAGGGGATGGGTTTGGAATCAGTTCTTTGTTTTAGAAGAACATATGGGACCAGATCCACAATATGTTGGAAAGGTAAGTTTTTGTTTCTTGATTTGTTTTTTTTCCTCTTTTTGAGAAATTGTGGGGTGAGATGAGAGTGGAGATGGATTTGAATTTGAAGAGACATGGCACATTAAGTGAATTATGTTATAGAATGCTGTTACTTATGCTAAACAATTCAAAATAATGATTGTAAAATGTGAACTTTGCCAGCCATGTCACAGGTCCCTAAACATTGGTCCATACAGACTAGACTGAATGTTCATTACCAATGTATTATTCTTCTTGTTCTGTCATGTAAAATGAAAACACTTAATTGAACACGCAATTAAGGAACTGTGTCTTCATTACCACGAAGGCATGTTAGAATTCACAGTGTTGTTTATCGGTACATTCATATTTACATTTTTTATCTATCGCTAACGCACATGAAGCTAAAAGGAAGACACTATATCATGACAATCAATTTCTGTTAATTGTTACAGAGAATGTATTTGAATGCGTTAGCCTTCAAAAGCACATGGCTATTTTTCCAGTTGCCCTAACTAATTTCCATAACAATGTTGATATATTTTACATAGAGAGTAAATATACACTGGATATACAGGTTTTGTTAAAATTCCAAAACAATGAAGTAGATAAAATGATCAGCAACTTCAGACCAACTTTATCTTCTCTCAAAACCACCGACAAGGCAACTTAATGGCTTCTCCAGCCCTTTAGGAAATTGCATGCTCAGTAGAAAGGGACGGCTGAAGCATATGTTGTCCAGGCTTTAGAGTAAAGAGTAGAGTGGGAAGTGGAGAGGCCTTCGTCTGAGGAATGGCTGATGGATGCTTGGAAGCAGCCACACTTAGGCTTATTCAGCACCTGTGAGAGAAACAGAAAGCACAGGTGTAGGGACTCCAAGCCTGCAGGCTCAGTGACTTCCACGGCCCTGCTCGGCTATTTATTTTCACTTTAGCAGTGTTAGTACTACCAAAAAAAAAAAAAAATCAAACCATGGTGCTTCCCTAATGTGTAGGCAGTACAGGAGCACCAGCCATCTGTTCCAGCCCTCATCCAACAGGGACTGGGTTGCAGCTGTATTTTCCATCCAAGCAGGAGCTGTGGAGTCAGAATATGGAACGCACAGAAAGAGCTGAAACAATTCTGTCATTTTCTTAAATGCATATTAAAACGAGACAAAAAAACCCCACATAAACTCATCTTTATTCTACACCTTTTTTTCTCTACAAATCATTCCATGAAGTAAATGGAAACATGTATAAAATAATAAAAAAATAAATAACATATTGAATTATTAGAAAGTTATTTTTGTTATGAACTTCAGAGTCTTTTTTTTTTCTACACTCCTTTCAACCTTTGAAAAGGAGAGAGAAAAAAAAAAGAACAGAAAGAGCTATTTTCCTTTAAGAGTACACCTAAAGGAAGAATATTTTATCGTTAAAATATTTTGTTATGCACATTTCTCACCATTTTAATTTAACTGAAAAACAAAATTTGCTGGCAAGGGAAAGGGGAAGATCAGACACCTTCCCATTTCTTCTTGAGTCACCTAGTTTTAGTAAAAGATGAAACCCCACTTGGTAGATCAACCCAAGCCATCTTTCTTGGCTTGGGTGCCAGTGAACATATGGTTGAGAGCTTGTTACCCCATCAGGAGGTGGCGGAGGTCTGTGAAACCGGTCCAGTTTCTGGAGCATGAGTAGAAATTGGTATCTGCTCCATTGCTTATAGCACTGACAGATATAAAGTCACACCCAAGGGTGGGATTTGCTTATTTCCTGTCCACGCTGGGACCCCTCACTCATCGTTTTCCTATTCTGTTCTCATCTGCCTGAATAAACAATTTTAACTGAATTGTATAGATGCTTTCCCTTCACCTGTTACCCTCCAACATACATACATATGTACATACATACATTCATATGTACAACATATGTACAATTCAAGAAAACCCTGCAGAGCTCAACAATCCATATGTGCTTTAAACAATGTCCTCCTGTCCCATTATTTTTATTCAGTAAGTTAATTTATATCTCATACTTATAAATATATCCATAATGAACCAACCATATATTTGTAAAGTATATAAAATATACTAAATAAAACATGGAATTATTAAAATTACTATGAGCATGAGAAAGGACAGCTCCAGAGAACTAAAAGCGATCTCCTTTACCCTGCTCTGTCACAGAAATGCCAGCAGAAATTTTGTCAACAGAAACAAATAATAATAATCATAATGCAGTTCTGGTATTAAAATATATTTTTTTCTGGATGCATTATATGTTTGTTTCAAATTATCCTTGAGTTTGTAATTTTTATATGTATAGTTATATTTCAAATTATAAAACATTTACTAGATTTTTGATAAGAATTCAAGCCTAATTGTTTTGACACATACCAGCTTCTCTTATATTTCTTATAATTTTCTTAGACTTTTTTTAGTCAATGATTGGATTTATGATGAGGGAATGTATTTTGATGACGTTGGTCAATATATATTATTCATTACTAAGACATTATAAATGCCTAAGGCCATGATCATAAGGCTGTTTCTAATTGTAAAGAATATAACACTGTACATGTGTATAATATATAAACAAATTATACATATATAGCTTTACATATATGTATGTGTATGCATAATTGATAATCCGTATTTTCCCATAATATGTGCAAGAGTTCAAATACCAAAACTAGAATATGAATGTATCTCATGGATTTTACCTCATGAACTCATTAAATGTATCTCTAAATAATTGAAGGATTAGCTTAAGGAGAATAAAATAGCACATTTATTAGAAAGTAAACCCTTTCCTCCTGAAACAAATTATATGGTAATGTTATTATAATTTTAAAATGAAGTGTTTCCTCTTTTTCAAAAATCATGGAAGAACAACCTAGACTTTGTATTGTATTTTTTTTATCTTTTGAAAGTTGAACAGTGCTGAATAAATCCCATTACAAATAAGAATATAATTTATTGTAAGATGTCACGCACATCCTAAAATGCATGCTCTGCCTCACACCTATCTCTGGAGTAGACAACATTGATTTCATGAGAATAATGATTAGTGAGTGAAGAGCTGGGGTTGAGTCGTAGCTTCTCTGCTTATTATCCCAACTGGCCAGTCTATTTATTTTCCTGCATTTCTGTTTCCTTACATATAAAACTGAGAAATACTGTTTGACATTTTTATTACTTCTTCAAGTATATAATAAAGTTTGGTATATGGTTTAGATCATGGGTCATTTAAACTACAGCCTGTAAACCAAATTCAGCCCGTTGCATGTTTTGATATAACCTGCATACTAAAGAAGGTGTTTTTTTAAAAAATTTGTAAATTGTAGAAAGAATTTTTAAAATTAATAGTTTGTGACACTCAGAAATTACATAAAACCCAATTTCAGTTTAAATAACTAATGTTTTATCAGAATACAGCCATTCTCATGCATTCTTGTATTGTATATGGCTGTTTTCAAGTCGGTAGAATTGAGCAGGGGCAAGAGAGAATAAGGCACACAAAGTCTAAAATATTTACTAGTGAACATTTACAGGAAATATTTGTGAGTGTCTGGTTATGATGTTGGCCTCACCTAGTACACTGTGAATGCTTTCGAAGCAGGTTCTGGGACTGTTTCATCTTTAATCACACAGCATCTATCTCGGTGCCTATTGTAATGATCAACTGTGGTAATTCACTGGGAAGTACTCCATAAACTATAACCATCTGTAGCCATGTTAATTGTCATTATAAGTATTTGAAATTATTGGAACAAAAACTTCTCTCCCTAATCATTGCTTTTATGGAGGAGATACTTTTTGGAGGTCTTTACATCACCAGTTTCACTGGAGAACCCGTGTCTGTAGTCATTCTAATGAATGTTCATTAACTCTGGTGTTTTTATTGTTGCATTACCGCCTTAGTGTAACGAACGTCCTAGTACACACATCAGTTAGCACACATATAGGTATATCTGTGGGAGAAATCTACACGTGGGATTGTGATTCAAAGATAAATAAACCTTTAACTTTGGTACATATTATTATATTCCCTTCCATAGTGGTGCGATATTTTGCAACTCTCCCAGTTGTATAAGACTATTTCTCTACAGTAGTGCCAACAGATGAGGTTGTAAAACTTGAAATTTTGCAAATATAATCAGTGAAAAATTGCATCTCTGTGTACTTTTAATTTACATTTCTCTTCTGATGAGTGAAAGTTATCATCTTTTCATACGTTGGGGTATATGAATATTTCTTTTTTGGTAACTAACTGACTCTTTATGACCCTTGATTTTATATTCTTTTGTTAGTCTCTTAACTTATCAATACTAGTGGCAATATATATATATATATATGTATATATACACATATATACATATATATATATAATTATTCACCAGTGATATGTCACCAATAATTTTTCACAGTTGTTATATGTGTTTTGACTTTGTTTATGATTTTTGCTGTATGGAAATTTGTTTTAATATAGTAATTCTTAACATTCTTTTGTCTGAAACTATATTTTTATTTTGTTTGGATTCTTCTGACATCTGACGATATTGGTTCAGAATTAGGGGCAGTAGATAAAATGCATTCTTGGGACCTTAATATCTACAGTTCATCACATATATTAGAAAATATCACTTATTGAATATAAAGAATGCTGTAAAAGTGGAAGTGCTTACATTAGAGACCAGATATTATAATTTAGTGTACATTTGAATTCTTATTTTTAGCCACAAGCTATGGCTGTGCTGCATAAATATTATATCTCATATTTACCAATAGACTATCCTACATGTGCAGATTGTAGTTGCAATGTATACTGACTCTTACTAGTGTATGAAGGAGTATTTAGTCATATGTAACTGGTAGGCTCTAATGAAGCACATACACTGGAAACAATGTCTGTTAACACACAACTGCTAGAAATAAGCTTCATATGCTTTTAGTCGTAAATGTGATTGGCAAAATGTTGTGTGCCATAAATACATATTATTTTTATTTTAAAAACTTT